CGTGAAGGCGATATGTGCGTGGAGGACACGCGATACGACTGAAGAGGAGCAGGCGGGGTACTGGAGAAGAGTGCAGAGACGCATGGATGACGTCGGACCGATTCCACGATGCATCTTCGATGACGATGAATATGAGACCCGCGTGCGTGGCGCCAATAACGTCCTGGTACGTATCGACGCCTCAAATGCTGTACATTATAAGACGGCTGGAGGCATGGGAATGTGGCCCTCGAATGACGCTTCTCACAAACTTGTGAAAGCTGTCAGGTTAATAACACAAAGCGGCTTTGAGGCGTTTGTTAACCTGCCGGCCTGTTTTTCTCTTGGAATCAAATTAATTGCAAGGTTGTTTGAGGTGGATGGGGAGAATGACGTTATTTATCGACTATTGACGAACCGTTGAGTGTTGTTACCGGACATTTTGGGGCGGTGCACTCTGCACGCATTCCTGCGTAGAGTCTTTGTGGAAAATGTAATGCCGGGCCTGTCGTAGCGCACGCAAATGTAGCGGGCAGCAATGAGCGTGAGGACCCTCGGGCCATTGCGGCATTTTGGAATCAGCAGGTGCGTCAGTGCGAGGTAGCGGTATCAGCTGAGAATTTCAGAAGTGAACGACAAACCCAACGTGGGCGACAACCAGAGGGAGAAGGAAAAGGAGGAGGGGAACAAGCAGCTTGAGTTTACTGGTGAAGTATTTTAGGGAGTATGATATATTGCCGAGTGTGTTTGTGTGTGGGTAGGAGGCGTACTTAGGGACTCGCTCTGCCGTGCACCAAATGATTATTGTGGCCAGCGCTACCACAGCAGCACCTTTTTTTTTGTTGTAGTTGTGTTGTGGTTGCGAGAATAATTGTGTGGGGAATGATGGCGCCTTGTGGGTATACGCTGGCAGTATTCGATTGGTGATATCTCCTCGCTGTTCCCAGTTTGTTGCTGCAGAGAGTTTGGGCGAGAGGGTAAGTTTTGCATGCTGAGTGGGCTCACAGGCGGGAAAGCAAATGCGGCGGCCACCACAGCCCAGAGGTCAGGGGCAAACCGAATTATTGTGAGTGCTTTTGTGCCTTGGCGTGATGTTTTTCCCTTTTGGTTTTTGGGTGCCATTGTTTTTGGTTCGGCTGCGCTCCAATTGGTGGTGCTGCATGCACCGCTGAGAGCCTCGAGCAAACACCGTTGGCGCCTCTCTTTTTGTTGGGTTGCCGTCCTGGGCGCATGCGCCTGTTCCGTCTTGTTCGGGCTGCACGCACTGACCGGACAGTCTGAGACTACGGCTGCGCTGGCGTCGCCCTCGCTCTTGGGCCGAACGAAGCAGCAGGAAACGGTGATGCATGCGTTGGTTTATTTATTGTTTTATTGTTTTTTTCAATATTATTTTTTTACGCTACGCCCCACTC